TCCTCCTCCTCCTGCTGCTGCTGCTGCTGCTGCTGCTGCTGCTGTTACTGCTACTGCTACTGCCACTGCCACTGCTACTGCTACTGCTACTGCTACTGCTACTGCTATTGCTACTACGACGACGACGACGACCACAACGACGACCACGACGACGACGACGACGACGACGACGACGACTTCGACGACGACGACGACAACGACGACGGGGGGTAGTAAAACGAGTACGACTGCGACCACGACTGCGACCTACTGCGACGACTATAATTACTGCAACCACAACTATCGCTACTCTGCCGCTGTTACTGCTGCTGCTACAGTAACTGCTGCTACTGTACTTCTGCAACTATTGCAACTACTACTGCCCGCTGCTGCGACCACAGCAAATCGCAAACAAATTGTCATAATGTTTGTAAGTACTACTGACTCTCAAGCAGGTATGTGTTCTGGTAGAATAGTAGTAGAAGATACAGTCGCGAACCTCCTGTAAGACACTCTGGTACATGCGAAAAGTAAATGTGTGTACATCAAGCTCCGTTTTAAATGGCTGCCACGCCAATGAGGTCTTCCTGCGGGTGGAGGGCCCCGATGGGCCTTACAGTCATGCTTGATGCTTCAAGAGGGGGAAGTCTTTGTTGCTCTGCGATGCTTGGCCAGGTCTACTGGCTGGGTATTTACGACTCAGCCGGGTCCTGCACCCTTTCTCAGGCGTTGGGGGAAACTGTGCTTGCCTCTTTTGACCTCGCAGAACAGCAGGCTCTTGGAAGTGGAGGTGAAGAAATGCAGCTTGTGCCCCCTGGGAACAGAAGTAGCTCAGAGAACGATATCAGACTGGACGCGTCCATTGCAGGTACTTCCAGGTTCTTGCTACCCGTGGCTGTCCATTGCGCTCTCGCTGCTCTTTAGTCGATGCTGCCAAGGCCACACTTTGAGCCTTGCATTCATAACAGTTTCCATGACTTTGTGCCCCTCTGCGATGCCGGAAGGTGGGCAAGGCCGAAGCTGGGCAGCTACTGCGAGTCGTTGGCCGCTTGGAGGCCGCCATGATCCTGTTCGGTATCCTTCGCGCTGGCAGTGGCTGGCAGTGTGCATGCGGAAGGTGGGAGGGACACGTTGCTTCGGCCTCGAGAGCGGCGAGTGGGTCGTGTGTCCCAAGGAGCTCCTTGGCATGGCCGCTTGCAAAAGCTTCAAACGCGCTTTGGGTTGGTCAGGACCTGGAACCGTCTTTGAAAGGTCCCCTGGAAGTGCGTAAGATGAACAACGAGGAGGCAGTGGCTTCCTCGGCTCCTGCAATGTGCTGGGGAGAGTTCGAGCTAGCTGTGTGCGTGTTAGCTAAGATCTCAGGAGGTTCAGGCCGAAGAGAGTGTGATGCTCCGCAAAGAGCCGACCGACCTTCCATGGGCAGCTACCAAGAAGGCCAAGCAAGGGACACCATGCCATATGCACAATGTAGGGAGGTCCGCTTTCGTGCTCTGCCACAGGTTCTGCTTCCCAAGTCCAAAGTGCTTGCCATTCGCAGGGTGTGGTGCCTGCAAGCACCAGTGAAGCCATCATGCTCTTTTTTTGTTATCCGAGGCCCATTTGCAGGGAGAGATGTGGATGGAAGTCATGCAGTTGGGTGGAATGTCTGGCTGGGTGGTGCCGACATGATTAAGGTGCAAATTGGAAAGTGAGGAAAAGCGCTGCTGCATGCTGCCAGATGCCGGCTTCAGACTTGCAGCTGGAGTTCTCGGTTTCCGACCTGCCTCGGCGAAGTCGATGAGATCGGTCGGTCGGCCAGATCTCAGAATGGTGTACAGCGCGTTCGCCAGTAGCTCTGGGTGCCTCCAAAGGAGGTAGTACCTTGTTGCAGCAGATCGCTGCCTGCTAATCCTTTCCTCCGTACCTTGGTGCATTCTTGGTCGCTAGAGCGGGAGCGCCTCGCCGTTAACGAGCCTTGATCATGTGAAACAGTTTGATGGGCCCAATGAAGCTGCCGCCGGGAGTTGATGTGGAGCTTTGTTTGCCCGCAAACGGACCGAGGGGACTGTTTGAGATTGAGGTACTCGCCGGAGGCTGCCTACGGCTTGGCGCAGAAAGGATTCTGGACGTCAGATACGCGCTGGCCTTGGGCAGTTGATACGAAAAGCTGCAACAATGTCGTCGTCTTGTATACAGAACCAACTCTGAAGCTGAACCTTGGGAGTTTGGAAGGTGCGATGAAAGTCGAACAGTTACTCCGTGCAACGGTGCAGAGAAGTTCATCGAAGTGCTGCCCTTGGCCGCCACAGCAAATGGCAGCATCGGTGGTTCAAGTCTCTGCCAAGGTTGTTTTCAGCACGGCCTTGAACCTCAGAAAGGTGAGGATACAGCAGGCAGCCTCCAATCATCCGCAGGACTTCGTGGCACGTGCTTCACAGGAGACCGGAAACATCCGTGGCGGATATCTGCTGGCCAGGACTTCCTGCGCAATGGCACCTTGGAGGTTGGTGGGTTGCCCCTGCCACGCGTGGTCAAGGCCTCACCAATTTCTCAGAATACCCCCCCACCCGGGCGTGGTTTCATCAATGCCACGAAAGGCTGCAGACCAGCCGCATTGCGACAGCTACCAGGCTATCGCGCCGGTCGTTCAGCGGGAGGCCGGGGCAAAAGACCAAATCACGATGGACGGACGCAGCTGGCATCGCCTTGGGCAGGTCGCTTGGTCGGGTGCGCTAGCTTCGCCGGCTCACTGCCTTCGCATCAGGCCTCGAAGAACGGCCTTTCCATTCCCAGCCTGCTGGAGTCTGCAATTTGCAAAATCGCTTGCAGGATGCTCGCCGCCCAGAAGGCCATTTGGAAAAGAGGTCCCGACTTCGTTGTGTGGGTGTGTTTTACCATTGGAGGAGTGGATCATGCTGAAGTTTGTGGAAGTCTCCGCCGAGGCGCGCAGCGACAGCGGCAGATGCATCATCCCTTGTGACGATTGAGCCATCGCCGGCCGCCAGGTGGGGCCCATCACACCTGCAGCAGCCCCAGCAGCCCAGCCACAGCCGCAGCCTGTCAAGGCTGGCCCTGGGCCTTCGGTAGAACCACAAGTTGAGATTGGGCAGATGGTGCAGGCCACGCCTTCCAACTATCAAGAGCTGCAGCAAGAGCTCCCATCGGTTGCTTCAACTACCGTCAGCGCGAGAGACGATCAGACTGTGACGGAACCACTGACATTCGAGCCGTCCGAAACCTCAACGGTGCCGGCGGCGTCGACAGCGCTTTCCGTTCCACTGTCCCCACTGTCCAGGCCGGAAGCCTTGCTCGGAGCACTGTGAAGCCCATCCATGTGTCTCCAAGGATTGAGGAGCCCTCCTCGACTTATCGGGCACCGTTGGCCAAGTTGAATGCAACCTGGTCGCAGCTTCTACGAGCACAGTGCGAGCATGCTACGTATGGATCCGCCGCTCTGCCATGCAGGCTATCGTGCACAGCATGGAGGACAAATGCTCATCAAGACATAGTAGCTGGCAAGCTAGCTGCTTCATGGCGACAGGAGCCGAATCAGGATACACTGGCGTGCATGCTCGCCTTTTCTGCACTCCGCTGAGCAGACTCCTTGTCTAGCTTAGTTTCACAGTTTCGCTATGAGGTCGGACTGCTGGCAGGAATCACAGGATCGGTGTCCTTGCATTGAACATGCGGCAGCTACAACTGTTTGCCGAAGCTGTCACAAATTGACCTCTCGTGAAAGGCTGGGCGAACGTCTTCCTTTGCCAAGCCCTCTCGCTTCCGGGAGTGCACCTGGTGGGCAGGCACCTTGTGGTGGGTTTGGATTTGCGTGGTGGTGCCTTGCAGACTCCTGTGTTCTGAGACTCCCCTGCTGGATGTCTTCCTTCGTGCCCGCCGGGAGCCCAGCGCATGAAGCACCTGTCCCAGACGAGCTAGTAGCAGCAGTAGCAGTAGCAGTAGCAGCAGCAGGAGCAGTGGTGGTGGTGGTGGTGGTGGTGGTGGTGGCGGTGGTGGTGTTGATGGCGGTGGATGTTGTGCCATCTGCTGTCTGACTGTATTTAGTTCACATACTATACATACAAATCGGCATGCATTGGGTTGTATGGTGGTGCCTTCCCTTGCCTTGGATTGCCTGGCCTTGCCAGGCCTTGCCTGACAACGCGCCTCGCGACCCATGTCATTAAACTTTTCTTTCGATTCTGTGTGATTCAGTATACTCAGTACACATCATGAAGACATCAACATGTAGCAAAACGTTGCATAGAAGATGATACATAATACAAAAAATGACATATGGCATGCTCGAATGTAGCGTAACATATCACAACTTTGTACCACAACAGAATAGTCATTGCACAATGTATATAATTTATAACATAGGCTAACGTATCATTGTACAACACAATGATGGTTTAAGTTCAGCGTAACTTAACATCATACAGAAGCACAAAATAGCCTGAGCCACTACATGCAACTGCATGGCCTGCCTGCCTCCCTGCCTGCCACCCCTGCCCTGCCTTGCCCTGCCTTGCCTTGCCCTGCCTTGCCCTGCCTTGCCCCGCCTTGCCCTGCCTTGCCCTGCCTTGCCCTGCCTGTGCCCTGCCCTGCCCCGCCCGGCTGGCTGCCCGGCTGGCTGGCTGGCTGGCTGGCTGGCTGGCTGGCTGGCTGTCTGTCTGTCTGTCTGTCTGTCTGTGAGCGTGTATGCATGCATG